GGGGCAGGGGAACAATGGGGGAGGGTCAGGAATGGGGGGTGGGGGAGCGGCCCCAGCCCCTCCCCCAGCCCCACTTTGGGGGCGTGTCCCTCCCGCCTGGGGGCGGGGCCTCGCGTGTTGGGCGGGGCCACCCCTCCCCCAGCCCGGGGGCGTGTCCCTCCCCTCGTTGTGGGCGTGGCCTCGCCTGCTGGGCGGGGCTGCCCCACCCCCCCATTGTGGGCGTGGCCTCGCCTGCTGGGCGGGGCTGCCCCTCCCCCGCCCCGTGGGTGTGTCCCCCGCCCCGGGGGCGTGTCCCTGGTCGGGGGGCGTGGCCTCACCTGCTGGGCGGGGCTGCCCCGCCCCATCCGCAGCAGCGCCAGCCGCCCCCGCAGCCCCACCCCCCGCGCCCGCAGCTGCGCCAGGTCCTGGGGGCGCCCGAAGTGCGCGTACACCAGCCCGCCCTGCCGGGGTCAGAGGTCAGGGGTCAGGGGTCACAGGTCAGGGGTCACGGGGTCAGCAGGGGTCAGGGGTCAGGGGCTGGGTGTGCTCAAACGTGGCGTACACCAGCCCGCCCTGGGGTCAGAGGTCACGGCTCAGGGCTCAGCGGGGTCAGTGAGGTCAGGGGTCAGGGGTCAAAGGTCACTCACGGTGGCCGTGCCGGGCGCGCTCCAGGCGCAGAAGGCCTCGGGGTCCAGCGGGAGCCGCTCGAGCTCCTCCCCCCCCGGCCCCACCCAGCGCAGGGACACCGCCCCCCTGGGGGCAAAGGTCAGGGGTCAGGGGTCAGCATTAACCCAGCACCGCCCCCCTGGGGGCAAAGGTCAAAGGTCAAACTGACCCACACTGACCCAGCACCGCCCCCCTGGGGTCAAGGGTCAGGGGTCAGGGGTCAGCCCGGACCCATCCCCCACCCGCTGCAGTGTCCCCGCCTCCCAGGGGTCAAAGGTCAGGGGTCATTCCCCCCCCCAATCCTGGGGGTTTTTGACCTTTTGACCCCTCCCGATTGACCCCTCCCCCACCACGCTGACCCCTTGGTGACCCCCCAATGACCCCTGACCCCC